ACTGAAAGGTAAAGAGAGTTTAGTCCTTAGACGTGACAATTCATCTGTAGGCGTTCTTGTTTGAAGTTGACTGCAAGGTAAGTGGACGCTGTGGTTCATAGACATTTATCCTCAATTACGAATTAAAATGCATGCTGTGCGTTGTCACCCCTGAGGACTAAGATTGTATGTTTCGTTTCCAGTACAAATGGTCTCCGGTTCTCCATACTTACGATAAGAAACACAGCAGCATTAAGCTGCTATTTTACGCTGGTTTTCTGTGAGAGCGTGGTTCTGCCCCGGCCGAACCAAACCATTCGTAAGAAAAATATTTATATGAAACTAGCTCTTCCCGCGACTTCGCCTGCACGTAATTTATTACGATTGGATTTCATGAGTCTTAATTTTTTGCGCGGAATCCTAATTATTTTTCTAAAATAAAAGTAGTCTAAGTTACTCCTTATATCATCACCTATCTGCCAGTGAAAGTCCTGTCTAAATCGGTTCAGCCACTTCTGAGATTAGCAGGAACAGACAGACAGACAGACAAAAATTTTAAAAATTGTGTTTTTGTTTGAAGTACCGTATACACTTTCGTATGTATTAAGTAAAAAGCTGTTATTTTGATATTACAAACAGACACTTCAATTTTATTTATTTCTATAGATTATAATATGATAATATCATATGTCGTGAATGCGAACGTTGCATTTCGGTACAGCCCTAATTTTGCGAACGCATTCAAGGTCTAATGAAGAAACGGGTATGTCGAATCGACTAAAAGTCAATAAATTTAGATATAATGATCAATTAAGAACGTCCGTATTCTTCCTTTGTTCAGTACGTCGGTAGTGAAGTTTGTATTTCTTTAATGTGTCGAGACTCGCAACAAAGTTGTATTTAAATGTCAGCTATGTATCTGAGACGTGATCCTTCATTACTCGCTCTATTGGGGGGATGATGGTCAATCAGCGAGTTATGGTGAGAGCTATTCTCGGAGTTTATCTACGTTATAGAACTCGTAACGATATGAACGATGTATAATGATATCCGTATAATAGAACCAAAGTATAACCGACTTTTATTTTTTATAAAAATTACGTGACAAACGAAATTACAATCCACCTCAAAGAAGGCTACAGGTGCGACCTCTGGCCTTCTTTGATAGTATGCCTTACTGCCTGTTATTATAGGAACGGAGTAAAACTGGAACAGCAGATGGGCAACACCATCGTCCTGATAATGCCCGCCTGCCTACTGTGGCAACTATGTCGGAATCCCCCCTGTGAGACAATCTATGGGAGAGGCCTACGTTTAACAGTAGACTTGATTATATATATTTATGATTGTGCTCAATAACCTTCAGTGGAGTTTAAAAAGGAACAAAAGTCGTTTATTTTTTTTTGCATGTGACGCCGTTACTAACTGGAACCCAAACTGGTTTACGCTTTACGTCATTGGTCATCGTCTTTAATGTTACTTTGAGGAAATGATAAGAATCTTATTTAATAATTGCATTGTTTCTGCATACGTGAAAAAATAAGGTTTATTTTTTAATGAAGTATATTTGTTTTTAAATTATGCTGCGTAGATTTACTTTAGAATATATAACCAGCTTATTTATATTTAAGAGTGACAAACAATTATACACCTACACGAATCCTCGATTAAGAATCAAAATGCAATTGCATTGTTAAGGCCTAGGCTTTAGCCCTAACTGGATACTGTTGTCTTAAAAAGCACATGTCCATCCTGGGACTAAGCAACTCAAGGATGTGCCGGTTTTGCTCCCTAGAGGAGGAAACGCCTTTACACATCCTGACAACTTGCGGACCCTTAATGCACAAACGCATCACTCATTTGGGAAACTATATACTTCGCCCAGAAGAAGTGAAATTACTCACTGCTAAACAACTCCTTCTATTCATTGAGGACGTAGGGCTTAGCAGTGAACTGTAGACAGAGCAGCGATCACAATAGATTTTTTAGGTCGCAGTAATACTAGTCTCTCTACACCTGCATAGCTGCTAAAGAAGCTGGAGAAGCCCATGTTCATTGGACTTTCGAGGGCTGACGAAATAAAAGAAGAGGAAAATACATGATAGAGCTCTTATTAATTAATTATAGCCCTTCACAAGTCCAAAGCTGAACATAGGCTTCCCCCAAGTAATACGAGTACTACAATTCTCGGTTCTGGGACACCTGTATCCCTCCTGGCATTCACCAACTGTATAGTCGAATATCCGAAAATACGCCCAGATAAACCAACATATAATTTTTTTTTTCAAAAAATAGTTATCAATATCCTAGTAGCATGCAATTAACTCTCTCAACTTAATAGAAACCAGTTATTTCAATATTACAGTCAGATATTTCAATTTTATTAAATATCGTTAACTTATTCATAATCCACTTCTGAATGTTGGCCCCTCCATAGATTTTTTTTATTCTTTTTTAATTTCATAAGCACACTTATAAATATTAAACATTAACACCATATTATATAAAAAGTAACACGCTCACTGATATGTATATCAATAACAAGTGTACATAACATTTACCAACAAAAATTCATGTAAACATTGAGAAGGAAAAAAGAGAAAAAAAAGAAAATATATATTTCCCTTTTTTTTTCAATGTAAGTGCGGACTCGCCTATAAATGATCGGTGAGTTTTCCGTGTAGGGGGAATCATTCGCCATAGTTACGAAGCTTGGCGTGGGGTTAGCAAACGATGTTACTTTTAAATGTTATTTGGAAGATGCTTCTGCTCATCTCCTTTTTCAATTTCCCTGCGTCGCCTCTTAGGACACTCTCGGGATGATATTGTGGGATAGTGGTTTTCGAAACGCCGCCAGTACCGTAACGTAACTTGTTACTTTTTATTATAATATTCTGTGCCACTTGTAACTTTTCTACCGACATCTCATCCTTCATCATTTCTACAGAAAGAGGAGTTTTTTTTATGTGTGATACCTCATAACTTTTTACTGGGTGGACCGATTTCGATGATTCTTTTCTTTTATTTAAAAGCTATTGTCGCACCAGCTGTTGCACAATAGCTGTTGCTTCACATGTGGTCCCATATTGATCAATTTGATCAAGGTCTGAACTATAGTTTTTGAGTTATTCTTAATAATTTATATTGAAGTCGGTTGTACAAAATTTTTAATTTTAAATTGTTAAATAATTTGGGACCCTCTTGGAAGTTGAACACTTATCGCGACCCAAATTATAAACGAGTAGATTTCTTTTTTATTTGTTGTTTCAAAGGATTTTTTAGTCTGCGGCTTGTTTGTTTTTCTCGGAATTACAGTTGACGCGAAACATCATATATCTAAACTAACTAGCAAACTGTGCAGCACATTTTACTGTGAAAAAGATTAGAAACCGTACATGTGTTGAAACAACTAGATTAGTTTATTTTAGTTATTTCTATAACGTCGTATAGAATCCTGATATGAGTTAATGCGGCTGACATTGAAACTATCTTTGTATTGCAGTAGGGAGCAATAAGAGCAATTTATTACATAAGTTTAGATGAGTAATGTATGTCCGCCAAAAGAAAAATAGTATAATTATATAAAATAGTGATTTACGGTCTGTAAATAACAGGAACAAGCGCAAGCTATTAACAGCAGTTATTCGACACCAAAACTTCAGTAGTTGCTTCATGGGTCATTGTATTTGCGTATACTTTTATATATCGAAATCCCAGAAAATATGCAGGACCTATCTAATCAAAACGTTTAAAATATTTGTTACTAGCTGTACCCCGCGACTTCGTTCGCGTGTTAGGGTTTTTATGTTTTTGCGCGGAACCCTAATTCTTTTTCTAAAATAAAAGTAGCCTAAGTTACTCCATATGAAATCAGCTATCTGCCAGTGAAAGTCCCGTCAAAATCGGTCCAGCCATTTCGGAGATTACCCGGAACAAACAGACAGACAGACAGACAGACAGACAGACAAAAATTTTAAAAATTGAATTTTAGTTATAGGTACCGTATTTACTATCATATGCATTTAGTAAAAAACTGTAATTTTGACTTTTTTTTTTAAAAAAAAAACGTTACCCCCACACTAGGATTTTCTCCTGTATCGTGGAGGCAGTTTACAAACACAAATTGCACAAGGACAAACATCCAGACCCGGAACAATTATTTGTAGGCCATACAAATACTTGTTCCGTGCGGGATTCGAACCCGCGCCCCCCAGCGCAAGCAACCCATTGCTAAGCCACTACGCCACGGAGCCGTCATTTAAACAGAGCCGTCATTACAAACAGACACTTCAATTTTATTTATTTGTATAGATGATAAAAAAATGTTTAAGTGTTATTGATATCGATGGATGCAGATGGCTGAGGACCGTGCTTTGTGGCATTCCTTGGGGGAGGCCTATGTTCATCAGTGGACTTGTAAAGGGCTGTAATGATAATGATGATGATACTACTAAAGAGTACATGATTGATAACAACCCCTGGGAATGAGGTGATCGCTACCATGCTTTTCCTCAATGTTTTCATATTTAATTGTATAATAACATATTATAATTATTGTAGACTAGCTGTTCCCCGAGACTCCGTCCGCGAGGAATTTATTACGGTTAATTTCATGGGTTTTAATAGTACGGTTGGATTTCATGGGTTTTGGCTTTTTTGCGCGGAACTCTACGGTTGGATTTCATGGATTTTGTTTTTTTTTTTTGCGCGGAACCCTAATTGATTTTCTAAAATAAAAGTAGCCTTAACTACCCCTTATAACATCAGCTATCTAACAGTGAAAGTCCGTCAAACTCGGTCTGGCCGTTGCGGAGACAATACGGAACAAACAGACAGACAGACAGACAAAAAATTTTTAAATTGTTTTTTGTTAGAAACACCCTACTTTCTATATATAATATGAATTTAGTAAAAATATGTTATTTTGACATTACAAACAGACACTTCAATTTTATTTATTTGTATATTCAAATAGATTAATGTTTAAAAATATACCCACTGGGTTTCTTGATGATTCTTACCAGGATAGAGGTTTTCTGAAACAAGGATAAAATCATAAATGCCAAAAAGTTTTCTTGTAATCTATACTGAATAAATTGTTTTTTCCATGTTAAGTAATTATAATGTAAAAAATTTATCATATTTTAAAGAACTAATTACGTTGAAGTCCGCAATTTAATTATTTAATACAATTATTTATATTATAGTTATGAGTGAATTCTTCAATTACATTGTATTTTTAATTATTATGAAATAAATTAAACACATAACAATATATTAAGATAAGCATTGATTATATCAGCAGCATTTTCATCTGTTTCTCACTAAGTAATTGAACATAGAGTAAAACTGGGATAAGTATTTCGTTTTGGTCGCTCTACAAAATGTAGAGTCGTAATAATATCAATTGTTGAACAACATTCAGAAATATATTTTGTATTATCCAATACGATTTTTCTAATGAATTAATATATTATTATATTAAATAACGGTGCGACAATAGCTTTTCACTTTTTGTCCGACTTCATAAAGGAAGAGGCTCTATATTCTTTTGTTTTTTTTTTCTGCCAAACCAGAGTCAAAAGGGTACAACCAACCTTTACACTGCAAGATGCCGTGCATTCCTGCTGAAGTAGAATGAGTAAAGAATAAAAGGGAGTAAGACAGAGACCTGCACAGATGTTGTACTATATATAATACCACACAATAATTAGTAGTAGTCATAACAATACTAAAAATTACGTTCTAATTTAGTTGCATCATTGTGCAATGATATAACTATGTAAATTATGAATTAATTAGTTTTGATATTATAAGAGTCTAATATAACATTAAATGTCAATGTCATTATTATCTAAGCATATAATAAAATTGTAAATTACCGGTTTCTGTAGATATTATAGATTTTTATTCCAAAAATGATTGAGGGGGACTAAAAGTAAGTAAAAAAATCATTCCTATAATTTGTAAATTTGTCTGTCTGTTTGTTCATGAACGAATTATGTCAAAATTACTCATATTTTTCAAAAGAATCGTTAATGAAATCATAAAGTTCGAGTTACATTTATTTAAGTCTTTATTTTATTAAAATCGTTTCGTTCTATCAAAATTACTTCATGAATATTTTAGTGGCGCGTCGGTAAGCATTTATATTATGTACAAACACCGGCAATTGACAATTTTATTATATTATATATAGATTGAGTAGTAACATAAGTAGGAATACCGACCTCCTATCGATTGTTTTTAATTTTTGTCATAAACTCTAATCTCTTGGCATCAATCGGGGCACGTTCTACCATTACGCAATAAAAGAATCTCCAAACTCAAGTTATTTAATGGTATGTATCTAGATCGATGCTTGCCTAAAGGCCGGAACATTTTACTTCCGGCCATATTTAACACTTTCACTGTCCGGTTTCCAGACACAATAGTAAGACAATAGCAGTGCCCTATATGTAGTGCACGGGACAGCGAAAGGGTTAAGCCGCCAAGGAGGAAATTTAGAACCGTTAGCAACAACATTTAAGAAATATAAATGTGGTCTATGTAAAACATTTATTTATAGTCTGTATAACTATATATATTACTAAATCGGTATCAACAAATAGCAAAGGAAACAATCATTGCCACTGATGACTGACACGAGATGCCTAATCCATTGGGTGAAGTAAGTTGCGTAATTTTATTATTTTTGTAGTTTTATTGATGTCCTACGAAACATACCATTAGTTTCATGCATATACTGATTTTAGTTGACTTTAAGCGTACCTATAGATACTGATTTTACATTTAATTATAGAGTAGCCGCTCAATTCGAGTATATTTTCGAAGTTATACTTCTTTTGTGAGGTTTGGGGAAAATTATGAAAGTGAATTTTTTACAGATAAAAACGACACCATAAAGTTGTTACGATGCGCACGCACACTGACACCTCAAAACAACAACTTAATTGGGTAACTGTCTCTCAAGTTTTCGTGGGAACTGATAACTATATTTAAGATTACGCTAAAGAAGTATAACTTCCTACGTGCGTACATAAGTACACACATTCGTTTTTTTTTCTTTTGTATCTATATACATGTAATACGAGATCTTCGTCCATTGTAAACCTTTTTCACTAATTAGGTCATACTTCAGAAATGGTCCGTTCTTATTAGAGGAAATAATTCCCCCATTAAGGGTGAAAAACTGGGATGTGAAGTTTTTAATGTAACTTTTTAGACGACATTGTAGTTGTTATCTTGAGGACATTTATGACAAAGTGGTCTGAGCACTGATTACAATATGTGAAATAATTTTATACTTTTCAGTTCTTTGAAGTCGGATTTTACTATTGTATCCTACAATAAAATCGACAGTTTGACATAATTTTTATTACCGTTTCTAACAACATGTTTTTCACAAATAATGATGACAAACGAGCACTCGTTTCTCTAATGTTAACTAGATACTGTGGCAAACAGACATCCAATTTTTAAGGAGCTATTTCTGGAATTTCCCTTTTTTATAAAATAAAGTTGACAAACGAACACACAGTTCACCCGATGGTAAATGGATACTGTGGCCCATAGACTTACATAGATAAGTCGCATTTTTATAAAACTGGCACGGAATGTGATGATGGAATATTTTGCCTTGATACTACACATCATTATGATATATATCCTATATATATCTTTACGTGTAATTATTGTTATATTACCTACATAAATGTCTCATTATCTTCGAGAGATAATTGCAATCATACTAATGCAAATTTAATCTACCTGTACGACAAAAACATCTTTCAAAAGATTATCCGTGTGTTTTAACAATATTGAATCCGACAACATGCTCACTAAAAATAAAATTCAAGGACTTAATATAATATTAACATTATGAATAGAATCAAACAAAATATATTTTATTAAGGACTGCTTCAATGATCTAACAGTCGTAAACGAGATTTCCGATCGCATGGTTCCCGGGTTCGAATCCGGAGACCATTTTTACAGAAAACGAGGCATTCTATCTTAGTCCTGAGGAGGGACGAGGGGTATAGGGTCCTATGTGTCACAGCATCCACTTGCCATGAGTTGGTTTATGAGCTAGTTGGTTACCTTTACTTATCGTAAAACAAATGGGAAAACGTTATATATATATGTTCTAAGTTACTACACTTTGCCATCTTTAGTTAGATCACTTATAGGTGGAATAGTAGTAAAATACGGGCTTTTGTTTTGAAAATAATGTAATATTAAACACAAAATAATAAAACATATGTTTTTAATATAATTAATAGAATCAGACGTTACTTTGCGGAAATCCATTATATAAAAGCTTTTAAAAAATTTACTTCGCAAACATCCGCACTATAACAATAGTATAGTACAATATAATAACGCATTCAGGGTGCTGGTGGCGCTCCCGCGCTGCTGTAGTGCGTCTGCGATGTTTGCGCACGCGCACACGGACGGCTTCCACGCCGTGCTGCGACGCCGCATCGCCTCGCTGATGCTCCGTACGCGGGGGAGCGCCAACACCATCCTGAACGTGCTCAGCGATAAGCCTGACTGCCCCCTTCTGCAGCACTGGTTACAAATGCATGTGCCCGGTGCCCCAGAGGGTGGCAGATACATGAACTAAACTATAGATTAATTTTATTCAAGTAATTAATATGTTAAACAATCGAATTAAGTTATATTGAATTGATTTAAATTGAATAACATTAAATTAAATTAAAAAGATTAGATAGAATTATATAAAATTAAATTAGATGAGATTAAATTTATTATAATGTAAATGTTACTGGTATGGACTCAGTCTGAAATAAATTGATTTTATTTTTTTTATTTATAAAATAAAATGATGTGTCTTACCTAGTATGAAGAGCACCTCCCGCCCTCCCTCAATTGCGTGCACTATCCCCGTAACCACTAATCCCAGCACCGCTACTCCCAACACCACTACACTAGGCAAGACATGCCACTGACGACAATACACGTGTTTCGCCTCTACAAGAGGCATCCTCAGGTGATGTAGACTCTACGGTGGCTGACCGTTAAGACTCTTAACGGTTAGCCACCGTGGAGTCTACATTTTATTTTATAGCCCGGGTGTTTGCGAAATAATTTTTTTAAAAGCTTTTAAGTGTATATGTTTTTAAAACAAGAGATAAATCGTAAAAGAGCTTTATTTGTTTGAGAGAGTGAATAAAGCTTTTTTTTTGTACAAAACAAAATATATCTCTCAGAAAAAAATATATTTATTTTTCTTAAACTAAATTCTAATCTATAAAGTAACTTCTGTGCTTAGATAACCGCTTTTTAATATCTTTGCCAAATTTCAATGGTCTTCGTGAAAAACCTTTGACAGGCAGATAGAGAGACGACGCAACTAATTTACTTTTACAATTTATTTCTAGCGATAAACTTCAAGTCTCCAATCGCAATCCAGTCTTATTCGGCTAATTGACCGATTGTGACTGGATTGAAACTGGAAAAATATATTGAAAATCTGCCAAATTGAGAGAACAGCCAGTCTATGAGCATGCATGCTTAGTTAGATATTTGGATATGAAAGAAGTGGGAGAGGTGTCAGTATCGTGTAATATGGACGCCTCTGGGTGACGGGCATTGAATCAATGAATGATTATGAATTTTTAGCGAAACTTTTATCGAATTATGAATAACAACGCGTTGAAGCGTCAGTAGCCTAATGGCAGGGCACGGACCGCGAACTCGAAAGGTCGTGGGTTCGAATCCGCCATTCAACTTTAACAGTGGTAGAGCCACGCGGCAGCTTTTGCTATCGCACGGATGGGCCGGCTCGAATCGGGGTAGGACCACGACCTCAGAGAATAGCAGCGTGAAGTAGAGGTTTACCTCTGCGTTTCGCTTGGTGAGTGCAGGTGGCCGGAGGCCCTTTCTACTGGAAATGAGGCATTCCATCTTAGTCCTCACGAGTGACAACGCATCTACATTTTGATTTGTAACAGAGGATAGATTTAGATGTCTATGGGCCGCAGCAACCACTTACCATCAGGTGGACTGT